TAAAGACTATTATGCAACAGACTAAGGAATACAGTTAAGTAAACGTAACCTTGACGTAAGATGGATGGCAGCCAACTTGTGACACATCACATTCTTTACTTCTTTTCCCACGCATAGTCTCATTGGAGCCTTGCAGTGACCTTGAATTACTTCCTATAGTTGCTCCTCTGTTTCACAGTGGAGGTGACAGTCTCAAAGAAATTAAAGTGATTTTCCTAAGACCACAATTCTATGTAGCAAAGGTATGAGTCAATCTACGCTTTCTGACTCCAAGCTCGTTCGCCTATGCTTGTCTTTGTGCCTTCAGTCCCACGTGCAAATCATTACTTACACCACCAAAACAACAAACATTTTGCTTGTTTTTTAAAAGTTATTAGCAATTGCATAGACTGTCAATGTCTGGTAACTTCAGCAAAAGGAGCAGATAAATTCATGGCTAAGATGTATCCTCAACCAAATGCCTAGTTTAGCTCCTGAGTGTGACTTAACAGCTGTGAAGCTTCCCAGATGTTTTGCTCCATTTATATCATGTGATTATTTGGGGACAGGAAAATCTTCAGCATGGTAAATGCCCACCCTTCATCTAAGTTCCACAGTTAACATTTTATTCTGTATATATTTGCTGTATTGCACACCTATCTGCCCGTCCATTCATCTTCCCAGTCAACAAGTCATATCGCTTTTCTGAAATTCCAGGCATCAATCAACTTTACTCCTAAATAAGTGGGCACACATTTCAGAAGATACCCAGCTCAATGTAAAATTAAAAGGTGCATATAGTAAATACATAAATATTAAGTGAGCCATTCAGCAGGTTTTGTCCAATGTGGACATTGTCTCATTCAAAGTGTAGGCATGGAGTCTCAGCCTGCTCTGGACTGTCCACCCTTCTTAGACCATCATCCACCATTTTAACATACTCACTGTCTCTTATTTTTCTCATTTGCTACACCTTCGAATGAATGGAGACTTATTTTGCTTGTCTATGCAAGGATTTTCTAAAATAATGTTTCTAAAATATGCTCACATTGATAGCACACGCCTTTAATCCCAGCACTCAGGAGGCAGAGGCAGGCGGATCTCTGTGAGTTTGAGACCAGCCTGGTCTACAGACCAAGTTTCAGGACAACCTCCAAAGCAATACAGAGAAACTCTGTCTCAAAAAAAAACAAACAAACAAACAAAAAAGATATGGTCATGTTGTTTTGAGCACAAGGAGTTAGCTATTTTCAATTGTCTGGTGTAATGATATCTTTTAGGACTATGCAAATTTCTTTAACCATTTTCTTCTTGGTAGAAAATTAGGCTATTTCCAGTTTTTGGTTCTTCCAAATAAATCCTACAAGCACTCTTGTATGGTGGTATCTGTGAATGTTCTTCTCCATCTTGGGCAAATACTTAGGAAGAAAACTGTCAGGTCATAGGATGAACACATATTTTGTTTTACAAGAAATTGCCAGAGAGTTTTCTCCAAAGTACTTGAGCTATTTTAACTCACATGAACAATATACCAGAGTTTCTGTTGCCTTGCTGTTGCTCACCAACTTTGGGGTTACCAGGATGTTTTTTATTTTAGTCATTCCAGCAGGTCTTCATCGTATTACTTTTATTTGTAATGGTTGAGAGTTTCCATTTTCAAAAGATGCCTTGAGTGGCATATGCATTAAAGTCTCTGCTGTGACTGGAACACTCGAGTTTTCTTCTGTGAACTTGGAAGAGAATGGAAGCAGATTTATAACTTAGTGTTTATTTTAAATAATACTGAGCTTAACATGAGCTACAAATTTTGAGTTCTTGATATTTTGTTGGACCTAAATCTTAGGGAATTTTTTTCTATAGCATTGAGGCTTTCAGATTAATCAAAATCATCAGTTTGGTTCTTAACTTAAACTCAGCAAAGGAAAAAAATCACAATATGTTCATTAATTCATAAAGTTTCTTTGGATGAACTAGTTAAGTATCACCAAGGGGTACCTCTCCTGAACTAAACTTGGACAGGAAGTGAGTCATTCGGAGTAAGCGCCTGTAATATTTGGAAAGTTATCAGCAACGTAAATTGCTTCCAGCTCAGGGAGAGACCATAGTTCTCATGTTCAGTTTAATGTCAGTATTTCCTTGGGTCTTGCAATTTATACTTAAGAATTTTCAAGGATATGACTTGCTTTTGTTTGAGATTTTTATTTGTTTTTGTTGGCTTGCTTTTATTTATTTTTGATTCCTCACTGTTCTCCATAGTTCAACTTCTGTTTGACATGAAAAAAAAAACTTGAATGCATTTCCTTCCTCTCATGAAATGAGATGTTCTGGTGCTTGCCCGTCATCCCTGCACCAGGGAGGCAGACACAGAAGGGTAAGGAGGTTCCAAGCCAGATTTAGATACAGGGAATCTGAGGTCAGCCTGGGCTACATAAGACCCTGTTTAATTGTTGAAGCCATATTGAATTTACTGTTTGTAACACTCGTCTCCTTATAGCAACTGAATGGTGTGTCTTTTTGTGAATTTTCAGGAAGAGCAACATGTTTAAGGGTTCTACAATGGAAGGAATAAAGCACCCATGCACAGAGGCTTATGCACTCTGCTCTGGACATTGCAAAGCACAAACACGGTGATGCCTTAGCTTTTCCTCTGCTCTCTAGGGCATTCCTCTCTGCTTCAGTTTTGTCAGCTATGGAAGGATAATGTGTGAGAATGTGCATGCTTTTTAGCCAGGAAATTCATAGTGCAGCTTTAGCATTGATTAAATTTTATCATGTATATTGTTTTTCTGTTAGGCTTACTCAGCTCCTTCCCATAATATGTGTGAGGGGCACAAAGATACCAATTCTTAGAAAGCCTTCATGAGTTTGAGACACTGGCAGGTGACCCCCTTGGAAACAAATTTAAATTAAACATCCCGGTTTCTGTTCTGACTTGCCTTTCCCCAGAACATAATGCATTGATTTTTCTTCTAGTTGCAAAATAATAAAATAGTTTATTCAAAAGATATATAATATAGTAGTGTTTTGGTAACTAAGCCCTCATGCATATATTTTGTTCCTTTATATATGAGAAGATCCTATGTCTTGGAATGACACTGTGTTGGCCACCTGTCTAATTCAGATGTGAGGAACATGTGACAGGTTTACTATAATGTTCATTTTGTTTCCTGGTTTTATTTAATGCACATATGAGGCACCAGGAACAATGTCATAATTAATGAAAATCGGGACTGTGATTGAGATGGTTAAACAGCACAGAAAACATCCATTTGCCTTTGAATGCTTCCCTTACACCTTGTATTTGGAATATGACATTGCCTTCAGATTTTTCTATGCAAAACAATGTATTAACAGATAATACACCAGGATCACTGTTTTTCTTTTATTTGGAGAACTGTTAATTGCAGTATTCCTTCAGAATCTAACAGCATCGTTAAGAAATGGGACACAGAGAAATGTCTGAAGACAAGAGGTGATAGAAAGTGTGTGAGTGTGTGTGTGTGAGGGAGAGAGAGAGTGTGTGTGTGAGTGTGTGTGTGTGTGTGTGTGTGTGTGTGTGTTTAGATATAGTGGGGTCGTGTGGGGCAGGTAGGGGGGAACTTCTGGTAACTTGAAGGTAGAAGGTGCCTGAGGTTTTCACAGGAGATCTCTTGCTTCAGACACTGGTCTAAGGCTGGCTGCATGTGAGGCAGATGAAATGGAAGTAGAGCACTGTTTTAGCTTCCAGATAAAGCCAAATTTTGCACAGCAGTTCTGGGATGCACTTTGTTCTATTTGACCCCAAAAGACCCAGGATAACTGTGCAGGCGTGGTGGTGTGGAGGCTGAGAATTTTGCGTTTTTCTGAGTTATATAAGCCACATGGTTAGATACACTTGTTCATCGGTGAACTAAGTATGAAAATGAAAACTCATTTTCACTGTCAAGTTCTTGGTACATAGTTTTTGTTGTTGTTGTTGTTGTTGTTGTCTGGTTATTTTTTTAAACTGTGATTCCAGAGCTTAAAAACAAAGTGAGCACTTTTTTAAAAATCTGATTACATACCCCTGAAATTTGCCACTGACCCACTTTACAAAGAAATTGAATCTAAATTCTATAGTATTTAATCAGATTTCATCCCATTTTAAATGAATGTGGGCCAAAATAAAGATAACTCATTAGGATATTTGACAGAATTTACCTTTAGGCTTTCTTTAACCTCAAATCAATCTGTAAACTTATCCCTTTAGTTTACATCATTCAATATATGCTATTCTGGGACAGCATTGTTTTATGAAAAAAATCAATGTTCTCCTTCAGAAACCAAAACTAATCACTTCGTGTTTTATCATATTTACATATAAAATTTTAAAAAGAAAGCCTCCAGAACTTTAGGTTGTCATTTCAAACATAAATTCAGCATCTGTGTAGATTCAGATTGCCAAGCATAGCTATGACAACTTTATAACTTCTCTCTTTTATCATAAAATATTTATTTTATCATTAAAAACATTTGGGTTTCATAAATTAACCATAGCAAACAACAAGAAAATCTTAGATTAAGATTAAAAACCTTGATAAAAATAATTTGAAAATTGGCTCTCTAATCATATTAGGCTGGGGCCCTGATATTAGAGATGTCTTCTAAACGTTAATTGAATAGACCGTGTTAGTCTGTCTAGAAACAGACGTTTTCTATCTCTTTGTAGCTAGGAGATTATTATGCTTTAAGTGTATTTTGGAAATTTCTTCCTACGGCTAAATTGAAAATGTCTGATATTCTCAATTACTTCAAGCGTTTATGATTCTAAGCTCCCAGCAGAAACCACTGCCAAGGAGGGGAGGGTAAGAGCAGTTACTCCGAAGGACACTTATGTAAGAACCATCAGGGCGGTTACTGGCTTGCAAGCAGGAAACCCTGTATTTCAGACTCCAGGCTTTAAGGAATCTTTATTGAGCCCTTTCTCCTCTCAGAGCTGAGACAAATGGCTGATGACTGAATCCTGAGACTGTCCACAGCTTTGCTCTCTCATTCTGCTGCAGCCCGGAAGATGGTGAGATCCATCCCGAAATCTGCCGGCTTTACATCCAGCTGCAGTGTTGCCTAGAGATGTACACAACGGAGATGCTGAAATCCATTTGTCTGCTGGGGTCTCTTCAGTTTCATCGAAAAGGTACACACATGCAATAGGATGCCAGAAACACAGTGAAAGAGAAGACAAAACTGGCCTTTTGCCTAGTGCCCATGTACAGGCCCAGGCACACAAGCAGAAGGATTTAAATGCTCAAAAACTACAGGATACATTAACTAATAAAGAGCCCACATCACTGCCATCTAAATGTATCAGGATTGAAACCATGGTAGGAACAGTCCTTAAATGTATTATTTCACCACTTGTGAATGTGACTTTCATTAGAATCCACAAAGACTGCAAAGATATACAAAGGTCTTAGTAGAGTAGTAAATGTTCTTCAAGAGCCTTGTTTCTCTAAATGAAAAGTTGCAAAGAGGTAAATGGCATACTGTGTCCCACTGACTTCAAAACAAAGGGAACCCAACAAATTGTGTGGAGGCATGAGCAATGGCAAATCTCCTTCCCTAGACATGGCATACAGTGACTTCAGGACTGGAAGTAGCTTCAGCATGGTTTGATGATACTTATGATTCCTGTTCTAAGTGAGGCTCTGTGTTTTCTCCCAAGCTGCCCTCCTCCACACTGGGTAGACTGACTACCACAGCTCTGGTCATCTTCTGTATTCATCATTTGACTCATCCCGAAGGGGAAACTTCTCCTGATTATAAAATGAAAATCCAGGCTTCATTCTAACTGAAACAATTTCCTTCTTGAATCATGGAGGGCTAGAATTCCACTGATTGGCTTCAGCAGTTAAGGGCTGTCCACAAGGCTAGATCTGATCAGTGCTCTACAAACTGATCAGTGGTAGAGTGGAAGTTGCTCAGCTTCCGTCACTGAAGTATTTATCTGACTTACATTTTCTTATTAATTCATCAAAGAACTCTTTGAAACCTCCTGAGTGTGAACTTTCTGTGCTTCAGGCCAGGAAAATGGGAGCTGAGAATACGTAGAATGTACTCGGTGCCTGTGGTTTAAATTTAAAGACAAGGAAGTTCAGTGAACAGCTGGGATAGGCGAACTTAAGACAACAAAGTAGTTAAAGATTTGAAATCAAACGAGTACTGGAATTTGGCGACAACAAAGTGATGTGATAATTTAGTAGTAAACATCAAATATTGCTTCATTGTTCCAAAGACAGGATAATGTTTTCTCAATACATGAGTATTATTTTTTCCTTTGTCTTCCTAAAAGCTCATTTTTCAAGGATTAACACCTTCATTTCTGTGGTTAATAAGAGAGAGAGTAGGTTTGGAAAGATCAGTCTCATGACATTCCTGATGCCTTATCTAAAACTTGAGTCCTCAGGCACATGGCAACAACACTGGTATCACCCTCACATATACACAAGCAGGGCAATGCATTCTTTGCATTGTTTGGGTAGGCTGGTGTCTTAGTCACCACTCTATTGCTGTGAAGAAATACCACAACCAAGACGACTCTTATAAAGAAAGCATTTAATTGGGAGCTTGCTTGCAGTTTTAGAGGTTTAGTCCATTACCATCATAGTAGGGGGCATGGCAGTAGGCATGGCAGATGTGGTGCTGGAGAAGTAGCTGAGATTTGCATCCTGATCTGCAGTCAAACAGAGAGACACTGGGCCTGGAATGAACTTTCGACACCTCCAAATCCACCCCGTGATACACTTCCTCCAACAAGGCCACATCTCCTAATCCAGCAGTTCTCAACCTGTAAGTCTCAACCCCTTGGGCTATCAAATGACCCTGTCACAAGGGTCTCCTAATACCATTGGAAAACACAGATACTTATATTACGATTCATAACAGTAGCTAAATTACATTATGAAGTAGCAACAAAACTAATTTTAGGGTTGGAGGTTACCACAACGTGAGGAACAGCAATAGGAAGGTTGTGAACCACTGAACTCATCCTTTTCAAATAGTGTCACTCTCTGATGACTAAACCTTCAAATATATGATCCAATGGGAACCATTCTTTCCAAACCACCATGATTAGATATAGGTGGTCTTGTTTTCCAGATCTGCATTGGTTACACTTGTGTGTAACCCACTCCTGCTTGTAACCTGCTTGCCTTTTGTTTTCTCAAAACTGACTTTGTTTTTTAGGTAAGATATCATGCAGCCCAGACTGGCCTGCAGCTCCTATGTAGCTGAGAATGACCTTGAACTTCTATCCTGCCTCTATCCCTGCAAGCATTAGGACTACAGGGGCACACATTTTACCTCTGTTTTATGTGGTGCAAGGACTTGAACTCAAGACTTTATGTATGCTAGATTCTTACTCTAACAACTGAACTACATGCTCAGCCCTGCAACCAACTTTTGAAAGGAAACTTCTGTTAGTTTTTCAAATTAACCTGGATCCCTTACTCGGGTTATTTCCTTGCAAGTGTTCTCAAGAAAAATAAGAAGCATGTCACCTCACTCCTGAGACGTTCTTTGCCCCCTGTCTTCATTGTCAGGATGTTTAGCCTCCATTTCTGACTTTTCTTTAAAAAAATAATAATTAAGGCTGTGGGTGTAGCTTAGTGATAGAGCTCTTGCCTAGGCCTTAGGTTCTATTCAGAGAACTACAGATGAATAAAAGCAACTTGGGTTGGCTTTGAACTCAGCAATCTTCTTGCCTTGGTCTCTACAGTGCTGAGATTACAAGCATCAGCCACTCACCATTCTTGTTCTCAACATTACTGAAACTTCTAGCACCTGCAGTCAAGCCTGCTATTACAAAAGAAAGAAAATCACAACCCCAGAGAAGCTAGACCCAGAAACAGATGGAAGCTGGTGCAGAAATCCACAACTAACCAATGGGTCAAGCTCCTGGAGTACAATTGAAGTGAGGGAGGAGTGATAATATGAACAAAAGAGTCAAGAGCATGATGGGAAAACAGAAACAGCTGACAGGAGGTAGTGAGAGATCACTGACTCAGGCCTGACAAATGAGGAACCTGCATAAAATAGAACTAGACTCCCTTAATATAGGTGACAGTGGTGTGACTGGGACAATATATGAGGCCACTGGCAGTGGGTCCAAGATCTAACTCTGATGCACAAACTGATTTAGTGGAGCCCATTCTATATGGGGAGATACCTTGCCAACCAAGACACAGGGATGTGGGGTGGAGAGGTGCCTTTGGCCTGCCTCAATTAGATGATGGGACAGGCTTAGTAGACTTCCTAGGAGAGGTCTTACCCTATCTGAGGAGCAGATGGGAAGTATGTGGGGGGGTGTGAGGAAAGGAGGGAGGAGGAACTGGGATTGGAATATAAGAAATGAATTAATAAGAAAGAAAGAGAGGGAGGAAGAAAGGAAGAAAAGAAAGTAAGAAATATTCTTTAAAAGTTTACACATAGTATGGAGGTCTTTGAAGAAAGTCCAAAGGGGTCTACAAAAACACTCCTAGAAATAACGACTGTATTCAGTATGGTCAAAGGGTACAAAGTGACCCTCCAAAAGCAAAAGTATCTCTATATGGTAGCAATGAACACACAAGTACCCAAATTAAAGATGTGGTGTCATTGACTACCACTAAATGCATTTATTTGTATCTAAAATCTCACCAGGATCTGTGGTTGAAATTACAAAATGGAAGAAATCAAAGAACACCTAAATTGGTCCCTAGATCCAATGAAAAGATTTCTATCAATTCAGCAAGGTTATCTCTGAATATGAATAAGCTTATTTTTAAATCTACACATAGGGTCTGGCAGCGAGATTGCTCAGTGGATAGAGGTGCTTGCTGCCAAACCTGCCCACCTGAGTTAACTTTCCAGAGCCCATACAGTGGAAGTAGAGAACTGAGTCACAGCAACCGTGACTGAATGCATAAGACCTGTAAAGCATCAAGCCAACTCAAATTCCTTCATGAATGGAGAAACGGCTCATGAATTCCTACCTTAGCTGAAGAGCTATTGGTAATTGATGACCCCCAGAGGAGAGAGGGTTGGTTTCATTCAGGGATGTGGCCTCTGAGAGGCTACCCACACTCCAGCAGATGGTGCTACATTCATGTACATCCTGCAGCACCAGGTGGACTTGGTGGCTTTAATAAAATAGCACATGAGACTGTGAGGAAAAGGTGATGGCGGACTAGGAGAAAAATTAGTAGGAAGTGAATGCATATAATTCATATAAGAAATTCTCAAACAATAAAACAACAACAAAATAAATAGTGGCATAAGTGCTTAAGAGACACAAGCAGGAGGGTACAGAAAGTTCAAGACCATCGTAGTGTACATAGCAAGTCCTTGGGGAGAGAGAGAGAGCACATGCACCACTAAGTATATGAAAATATGCTCAAATATCATTATCCATCAAGAAAATGCAAGCTAAAACTGCATTCCATTAGGCTGATCAGAAAAACGAGGACATAGAACCAGCTTTGGTGCCCATGAGTGGGTAATGATAATGTGGCATATATACACAATGGAGTATTGAACAGCCATAAAGAATGAAATAATCTTGTCTAAAGAAAAGGTGATTGGGCTAGAAATCATCACTTTACTTTAATAAACTAGACCCAGAAATCAAATAATAAATTAATAAAATAAAAAAACTTCATCTTCTGCTCTAATGCTCAACCTTCTATACATAACTCCTAAAAAGAAGCAACTCCTGGGAAAATACTAGAGTAATTACTTAAGCATTGCTTCAGCTGAGTGTACTCAATGGCTACCTGTCCTCAGCAGTCCATGTACATAAACTTTTTTTAGAAATATGCATCTACTTTCTCACATGATACCTAAATAGCATCTCACTCTCCTCAAAAGCCTTTTGTGTTCACACACCCAAGAGCTAGCATTGTCTTGGTATCAGTAGACAATCCTAGGAGGTGATTTCTTTTGGTGAGAAAATGCCAATTACTCTAGAAGTAAAGAAAATGGAAATATGTGTAGCTAAATCCTATGTTGAAGATAAGTCACTAGTGGTAGGCACCAAGGGAAATGTCATTAAACCAGAGAAAATACAACATTAGAAATATGTGCATGAAAGTACTTATTTGAGAAGTTTCCTGAAATCTCTAGAATGTGAAATGAAACACTACCAGCAATTTGATAAGG